GGGGGGGGGGGGGGGGGGGGGGGGGGGGGGGGGGGGGGGGGGGGGGCAGGTGCTGAGGGACACACAGGGCCTCCTGCAAGCTGAGGCAAGAGCCAAGGATTTCAGCTTCCCTGTCACTGCTGAGTGCCAGGTGCTGCTGAGGGGGGGCACGAGTCACACCCAGAACCCCCCGTGCCCTGGGCTGATCCCCCAGGGATGGTGGGCAGCAGGGCAGGGGGGATCTGCCCCTCTGCCCCCTCAGCTGAGACCCCCCTGCAGAGCTGCCTCCAGCCCTGGGCAACAGCAGCACAAGGACGTGGAGCTGCTGCAGAGAGTCCAGAGGAGGCCGCGGAGATGCTGCCAGGGCTGGAGCCCCTCTGCTCTGGAGCCAGGCTGGGAGAGCTGGGGGGGCTCAGCTGGGGAAGGGAAGGATCCAGGGAGACCTTGGAGCCTCTTGCAGAGCCTAAAGGGGCTCCAGGAGAGCTGGAGAGGGACTGGGGACAAGGGCTGGAGGGACAGGACACAGGGAATGGATCCCAGTGCCAGAGGGCAGGGAGAGATGGGACATTGGGAAGGAATTCCTGGCTGTGAGGGTGGGGAGGCCCTGGCACAGGTTGCCCAGAGAGGCTGTGGCTGCTCCTGGATCCCTGGAAGTGTCCAAGGCCAGGTTGGACGGGGCTTGGAGCACCCTGGGCTGGTGGGAGGTGTCCCTGCCCATGGCAGGGGATGGGACTGGATTCATTTAAGGTCCCTTCCCACCCAAACCATTCCATGATTCCGTGATATCTCCATTTATAAATTATTGTCACATAGCCAGAAATTCACACCTCTTCCTTAATGAACTGAACAGATAATGCTCCTTTAGCATCACATTTCCCCAGTTGTCTCTGCCTCCTTTAACCAACTTTGCAGTGTTCCCATGTTCCTTGGGATGAGCAGGAATAGGGAGAAGGACCCTCCTGCCATGAACTCCTGCAGAACCTGGGGGAGGAAGCAAACCTTCATCCCAGCAGCCTGGGATCCTTGCAGGGGGACGAGGGAGGTGCTGAGATGGGAGCAGTGACACAGAGGGTGACACTGACCCGGGATCTCTCCTGGTGCCTCAAAGTCAGACGTGTTCTGGCTTCCTAAAGCTTGGTTCTGGCCTGGCCTGGTGTCATTCCAGACCTCTGGAATGGTCTCATCTCCTGGGAAGAGCAAACTGCAGGCCTAGGATGACACAGCAATCCTTTTGCAGTGCCAGGTTGTTCCTTTGCTGTTCATTCCATGTTTATTCCATGTTTATTCCAAGGTCCAAGCCTTTGTGGGGATGGGTTCTGTACAGGGTATGTGCTGCAAAGGTCTTCATCCCGAGTTCCTGCCTTTGGTCACTGGGGGAAGGGTTATTTATCAGAAAACAGAAGAGTTCAGTGCTCTGAAACGAGCAGTCACCTCTGTTTATCTGTGGGGGTTTCAGAATTCCAGCTCCTGCAGTTCCCTGGTGTCTCCTTGGGCAGTGGCTGTGGCCCAGGATGGGCCCCAGGGGCTGAAGGAGCCCATTTTTGTTACCATCCAGGCTTTTTGATGCTCTCACTCGGCTCCCCCCTACAGAGGCAAGAGGCCTGAGTTGGCAAATGAGAACTGATTCCCAGGAATCACTCTCCCTTCTCAAACTAAGAGGGAAAAGGGTGGGCAAGGCCCTGCCCCAGGGGCACAGGAGCACAGCTGGCAGAGAAGGGTGTGAGAGATGCATCTGGAAGGAATTTCTGGGTGTTGACATGAAAGGAGAGGTTCAAACCCCAGTTTCCTTGTATAAAATGCACTTTTTAGCACCAATGCCAGCACAAAGCACAAAGCCAGCACTGGAACCCTCTCATTTGCTCTTTGGTAACCAAGTGTTTGTTCCTATGGGTTCCCCTTCCAGCTCAGACAGGACTGGTACAGACACAGCAGACACAGGCTGAGAGAGAGCCCTTGGAAGGGAAGGAAGCAGAGCAGGGATGGATCCTGGGAACATGTTATTCCATGAAACTCATCCTGTGCTGGACAGGGGGGAGAGGCTGGTGAGCCAGAGCAGCACAGGAGGGCCCAGGGTCACCCCCAGGCACCGAGAGGGGCTCCAGGACTGCGGAATCCAGGGATTCTGGAAAGGGAGAATCACCCAGTTTGGACAGGAAAATGGGGAAAGAAGGTTAAACCATGAAGGAGAAACTAAGGGAGAGGGTGAGTGATGCCCACCTGGACTGTCACTGCCCTTCAGAGGGGACAGAGGGGGGACCATTCCAGCCAGGGAGACCCTTCATGCCAGAGGAGGAGGAGGCTGCAGGAGAACCTGGCAGATGTTGCTCCTCAGGAAACATCTGGAGCTTGTCTGCACAGAGGACACGTGTCCCCAGGGCAGGAGCTTCCCTGGCCCAGAGCTGGAGGTGACTCTTGTCTGCACCACATCAAAGGAACCCCAGAGAGAGGTTCTGCAAAGCCCCAGCCCAGGGAGGTGTCTGCACCCCAATAAATGAGGTTATGCTGCTGCCCATGGGAATGTGCAAAGCCCTGGATTTGGGAGCTGCCTGCTCTCCCAGCCTCAGTCAGCAAAAGGAGCATTTCACAGAATCTTGGGATCACTGGGGTTGGAAAAGCCCTCCCAGCCCATGGATCCACCCTGTGCCTGATCCCCACCTTGTCCCCCAGCCCAGAGCACTGAGTGCCACAGCCAGGCCTTCCTGGGACACCTCCAGGGCTGGGCACTCCAAACCTCCCTGGGCAGCCAGTGCCTGACCACCCTTTCCAGCAGGAAATTCCTCCCAGAGAATCCCAAGCTTGTCTGGTCCCACCTTTGATGGGAAAGGATCCTAGGAAAGGTTATCTGACCCTTGTCCAACTGCACCTGGAAAGTGATGGGGACTCCCCACGCCCACATTTGAGGTCCCACAGTTCCTGCACACCTGGCAGGGCTGGCAGACACCCCAGGGAATGATCTACAGGCAGATCTGGGGATAACACAGGCACACAGAACCCCCAGACATGACTGACTCGTTTTGTCAAGGAAAGCAGAAGGAAAGTCCGTGGATGTTGGTTCTGCCTGCTGGAAATGCAGCTCTGCTTTGCCTCTGGAGCCCCCCTTGCCACTGACACAGGGACAGCCCAGCTCCTCATTCCCTGCAGGAACATCCACCCATTCACAGCTTTGCCAAGCACAGCCCCCACCTCCCTGCTCTCCCTTCAGGAGGCAGGAAAGTGCAAACACACCACTCAGGGAGCTTTGTGCTCCCTCACAGACCCCCATCCCCACAGCAATTTACATAAATATCACCAAGCAAATACAAACCCAAACTCAGCTCGACCCTGAACGCCCCTGGTAGAGGTGGGGAGCTCTGGGGAGCTCTGGGGGCTGAGCTGTGTGTGGGGTGGAGAACGTGGGGCCACCACCATGGGACTGTTCCCAGCAGAACAGAATCACTCTGGGCAGAGAGAGCAGCCCAATGACACAGCAAGACCAGCCTTTCCCACCAGAGCTTGGCAAGTCATGTCCCACTCAAAAAGGGAGACAAAAACCTCTTTAATGCTCTTCCCGTGTTTCCCCAGCCAGACTCGTGTAACAACACGGACTCAATAAATGAAAATCCCTCTCTGGGCAGAACATAGATCCCTGCAGAGGATTCCTGCTCGCCAGACTGCCCCACACCCGTCCTGCAGTGCCTTGGGATGGGTGAGGAGGGATGAAACACTCTGTATCCCATCCCTGGATGGGTGAGAAGGGATGGAACACTCTGTATCCCAGCCCTGGATGGATCAGAAGGGATGAATCACTCTGTATTCCAGGGTGAGGAGGGATGAAACACTGTGTATCCCATCCCTGGATGGATCAGAAAGGATGAAACACTCTGTATCCCATCCCTGGATGGGTGAGGAGGGATGGAACACTCTGTATTCCAGGGTGAGGAGGGATGAAACACTCTGGATGGGTGAGGAGGGGTGAAACACTCTGTACCCCATCCCTGGATGGGTGAGGAGGGATGGAACACTCTGGATGGGTGAGGAGGGGTGAAACACTCTGTACCCCACCCCTGCCCACAGAAATGCCCCCCAGTGCAGAGGTACCTCTTGGTGGGTGTGGGTGCTCCAGAGGACACGTGGGTCACCATGGCCTCGTTCATGTTACTCACGGGCCGGGCAGGGCTGCAAGGGAAACGTTTGTGCCTGTTAATGACCTAAAAAATGAAAAGGGAACGACCCATCCCTTGGGAAAAGCCCTTCCCTGTGCCCTGTGACACTGCCAGGCCCAGGGCAGCAGCAGGAATTGCTTCAGCTGGTGGCACCTGAAGAGCTTGGCCTGCTCTGGTGCTTTTCACAATCCCTGTGTCACCCTAAAAGGGAGATAAAATCAACATTTCTGACTGCACAACTCACCTTTGGCACTGCTGAGCAGTTCAAGCAAATGCAGGAACCATTTGAATCAGGGCAGTTCTTTCGAATGTTTAAAGAACTGAAGCAAAGATTTACTACAAGCAGCACTCACTGGTACAACCACCACACACACCACCTGCCTGGGGTTCAGTTTAACAGGATCAAGTGGGTTGGGATAAACAAGTGGATAGAGCCTCATGTTCCTCCCTGTCCCATGAAACCCAGCCATGGACTGATGAGCCACTTATTTGCATCCTTAAACCCTGAGAGTTTCCCAGAGCCAGGGTGCTGAGGCCACCTTGGTGCTGTGTGTGTGCAGGGGAGCCAAAGGGAACGTCCCTGGACAGCTCTGCCACTGGATTTGAGCTGCTGGGACAGGAGAACTCCAGCAGCCCCAGCCATGGAATCAATATTTGCCCACATTTACCCTCCAGGGACACCCAAAGACATCCACCAACCTCTGAAATGAGGCTTGAAGCTCATCCAGTGCCACCCCTGCCCTGGGCAGGGACACCTCCCACCAGCCCAGGGTGCTCCAAGCCCCATCCAACCTGGCCTGGGACACTTCCAGTGATCCAGGGGCATCCACAGCTTCTCTGGGCAGCCTGTGCCAGGGCCTCCCCGCCCTCCCAGCCAGGAATTCCCTCCTAATATCCCGTCTATCCTTGTTCTCTGGCAGTGGGAAGCCATTCCCAGTGTCCTGTCCCAGGCCCCTCTCCAGCTCTCCTGGAACAGGGATTACAATCCCCACAGGTCTGTATTTGCCATCACCTTTGCACTCAGATTCCCTGCAGTTAACCCTGAAATGCATTCCCAGGAATGCTCCAGTTTCCTGCAGCACAGGGGCACAGGGGGAGCTGGACCTGTTTGCAGCCTTTGCCTCCCCTGGCATTCCCTGCTCAGCACCCTCATCCTGCTCCTCTTCTGGATGTGCAAACACCAGAAATCACCCCAAGGCTCCCCAGCTTATTTCATTTTCAGAGCCCAGCACTCCAGGGAATGAAACAACCACCAAAAAACATCCCCTGGATGTCAAACACCTGCAATCACAGAGGACACACTCCCTGCATGAATTCCTGCCTCCTTCTCCAGGCAGGAGTTCAGGGAAAACCACTTCCCTTCTCACCCTGGCTCTGGACTGACTGCCCAGAAATAATTTATGTTTATGTTCATGTGCCTCCAAACACAACATTTCACCGGGAAGGGATCTGGTTGTGAGACCCTTCTTTTGGAAAAGGAAATTCCTGCTGCACACAGGGAAGCAGGAATGGGACGATCCCGAGCTGGAGAGCTGGGACGTGCCCCCCGGGGGGGTTTGGGAGCCCTTTATCGTGCCGGTGCACGGGCAAACACATCCATGGTAACGAGCAGTTAATTAGCGGGGCTCTCCCTCCCCTCCTCAGCTCCCGAGTTACTTCCCCTTCACCGAGCACCGGGAATGTCCCACCCACACCACAAACCCTCC